TTGCTAATCCTTCTAACTGATCTATATTTAATCTAGTTCGATGCTTTCCATAAATCCATCCTAATGCTAAAAACATCCATTCACAAAGAGCTGAACTTGGTGTAATGGAAAAAAGTTTAATTGCCAAGCATTGTAAATTGTTAGGCTTAGCTTCACACATATTCCATCACATTAATAGTGTATCCTTACTAATTGTATAGAGGGCAGTATAAGGATTTAGATTTCCATTTATATTTTCTTTTTGCTCTTTGTAAATTCGTAATTATGTTATTAAAGCTTCACAACTTTCTTTTGATTTACCCATTTGTTGCCATAATTTTTCAGCATAATTTGCAATAAAAGGAAATGTACCAAACTTTAATCCAAGACCTTTATATGCTAGATGAAGAAAATATGTAAGTTGATAAATAGAATCATTAAATTCTTCAAATCGTTTATTAAATTTTTTAACATATTCATTGCAAAATCCTTTATATTTGTCAATAGAAAGATTTTGAATTGCTGCAGCAATTTTTACTAAATTAATATAACAGTTAGCAAGTGTAGAATGATTTGCCTTAACTGCCAAAATTGCCTTTTTGATTAGAAATAAAACATCTGAAAGATATTGCAAATCAGTAAAAAAGCCTTGATCACAAAGTATTGTTAAAATAACAGGACTAATAATTTCAGAGTGATTTTCTTGAATTTCCTCTAAGCAAATCTTAAGTCACACAATTGAGGAGATACATTCATATATGGTTGTTCATCTTGTTTCAATATATGTTTTAAGACCACTGCCACTAATTTGATATTGTATAACTTTTTCTTTTAATATAGCTCCAGCTTTATAAGATTTTTTAAAAAATGTTACTATTTTATTAGCATGTTGAATCATTCTTTCTGCAAACGTATGTTTAATAATATCTTTACTAATTAGGTTAAAACAATGAGCAATGCAATGAATATTTATAATATTTTTATATTTTGAGCAAATTATATTGTGTGCAGATGCTACATTAGCTTTATTATTACTGATTATTGCTAAAATTTTATCTTTACCAATACGATTTATAATTAATTCGATTTGGCTTGCCAGAAATTCTGCTGTATAAGATTGATCAGAATAATTTCCAAGTTCATAGAGATATTCTTGCCGTAATGGTGTCATAATAACGAAATTCCAATTGATAACCCATTAGGAGCAGTTCAACCATCAATACCGATAGTAAGGTTGTTTGTATGTTCTAAAATTCCATCAACTTTGTGAATAACTTTTGCAAGTTCAGAATCTAATAAGCATCCTGAGAGAACCTCACATGATGAGATATTATAACCAGGATTTAGAAGCTTTAAAGTGCTTGTAAAAAAAGAATTGTTGACAATATGAAAAGGAATACCACACATAACAAAAGCTAATAAAATAGCTTCGTCAATTAATGATTGCATAGATGCTTCAATTTTTGTAAAATCATACCAATTAGTTAACCCAGGTTGTTTGGCTATTTTTTTTTGTTTAACTAAAGATAAACTAGCATTTGATATAGGTTCATCAGTTGGAATATCTTCTAAATTATTAACTATAATATTATTAAAATGACGCAGCCACTCTTTAGGAACTTTTTTACAACTATTAGCAGAATGTGCTTGCAGAGTTTATGGTTTGGCCTATGAATAAAAATGTTCACAGAATGAACAAGTTCCTTCCCAATGACCATTACCTTTAGATTGACCTCTTTCAAAAAATTTCCAAACACCTGTTTGTGAACATCCTAATTTGAATTATTAGAATTCCTGGACTTTGTTTCAGTATCAGCATTACTTGAATTGTTATTTTGATTTTATTTTCATTTGGTCATTTAATCAATTTAAAAATTTGGCAATAAATTTATAAGAGATTTATAGCAAAATTTTTGTTACTTGCTAA